ATTATTACATTTTATTCTGTGGTTAGATAAGCTGTTAGTTCAATGGCTATAAACTAATCATGTTATATAACTAATGTGTAAATATACCACCAGTCAAATATTATTTGTGAAATTGACCTTTTTTTCATGTTACAATGGAACCTGATGGTAGGAAAACATCATTTTGTTTACCTTCATATCTTTGATGGTTCAGAGCGCATGAGCTGATTGGATTTAGGAATTTGCAATAACTGATCTAAGTTAAGTCATTAGTGATCAGATGATCACTGTTACAGTTGCTCAGCCAAGAATATAGTATAGTGTTTAGAGTGAGGCCCAATTTGCAGCTCTTAGTCAAATATTGAGGATTTATATGGGATTTACATTGATCAGCCATAACATTATGACCACTGTCAGGTGAAGTGAATAACACTGATTATTTCATTGCAGTGGCACCTGTCAGTGTGTGGGGTACATTAGGCAGCAAGTGAACATTTGGTCCTCAAAGTTGATGGGGTGGAAGCAGGAATAACAGACAAGCATAAGGATGTGAGTGACTTTGACAAGGGTCAGACTGTGATGCTGATGACTGGGTCAGAGCATTTCCCAGGCTGCAGGCTCACTGATGAGGTTGACCTACCACACAATCCATTTTTAAATTCCACTTGTACTAAAAGATTAATATTGATTGAATCATTGTTAAAATGGTTGAAAATTGAAAATGAGAAACACTGTACACTGGTCCCTATGTAGAGAAAGAGTCTGGGGCTGTAGTGGTGATATCACACCTAGAGTGATGAGGCTGTTGAATTGGTATAAAAAGTATCTCTAATTTGTCCTCACCACCAGTTTCCACCCCTTTAACAACATTTATATTGTTGCATGGTTGACAAATTTATGCTTTCTCAGGCAGTAACTACAGAAGCAAAAAGATTCACACAAGATGCACTGTGCGCTGCAGAGTCACGAGTGCCAGCCAGCTGTACACAATATTAGGCAGGTCGTCATAATATTATGGCTGATTGGTGTATATGTCAGGGCACTGGCAGTTCATTTGGTTTTAATTTAACAGCTCTGGTCCAGAAATAATTTAGGCAGAATGCAGAGCTTAATCTGGCAGTATAGCTTGTGAGCATCCACCTCAGTCATCACTGTGGTTATGAGCATGTCATTACGGTGTAATCACAATACTGGGCTAAAACCTAGAGCAAAGAACTCGTACTTTGTTGTGGTTTTAGTATGAATGCTTAACCAGCAGTAGATGTGCTATCGTAATTGAAAATGTGCATTAAAATGTAGAATTTCAGTAAATGTTAGAATTAATTGTATTGTTTAAAAAGAATGATGGTTGCCTCCCTACCGATGAGACACAACCCGAGGCCACCTTAATGATGTTAAAACCTGGAATTTTACTTCATATATTTAAAACAAACCTTCTAAGTCTTTGCCAGTGGTATTTGACTTATTCTAATTCTTGTCATTCTGATTGAAAACATGAAGACAACTTAAAAGTGTGGTACAGTGACAGTGACTGGTAAAATTGTCCTGCTCTCCTGGTGATTTTAGCTCAGTGAGGATATCCACTATTCCTGCCTTTGGCACCATCATGGAAACTGTCACACAAAAAGAGGTAGGAAACAATAAATGTCAAATTGTGCAGATGCCTAATAAGCACACAGTTTCAATCAGTAACTTTACAAATGGTCTCAAACCATATAAACTACTGTCACTTTTTGTTCATATGTGTAGCTGCTGGAGCGTGTAAAAATGCAGCTGGCGTCATTCCTGGAAGATCCTCAGTACCAGGATCAGCACTCGTTACACATGGAGATCATCAGGACATTTGGAAGAGTCGGACCTAATGCTGAGCCACGCTTTAGGGATGAGTGTATGTAAAAGATACAGATGTTTCCAATGTTGAACCATATCTATGTTTTTCTCTTTTAATTTGCCATTCATGTGTATTATGTTTGTTTGTTTTTTTGTCTGTGTTTTTCTTTTCTTCTCTAGTCGTGCTGCCACATCTTCACAAGCTGGCGCTGGCTAACAACAGTCAGACAGTGGAGAGCAAGAGGATCGACATCGCCACTCAGCTGTTTGAGGCCTACAGCGCCCTCTCCTGTTGCTGTATCCTTCTATCGGTCGTACTTAATGGTCTGTGTGAGTCAGGATTTGTACCGGTCATCCTGGATTTACTTTTCGTGAAAAGATTTTTATTTATAGCCATAACACTTTCCACATACGGATACTTGCTGCAGTTAGATTACACTGAGAAACCTACTAGGGAAGATGTGTGGTCCATGTTTTCCAAGAGATCAGCGCACTTATTCTTTTTAACAACTCTAATCTATGTATTTCCAAAGGATTTACTAGAAGTCAGTGTAAAGTTTGGCCTAGGTTCATTGTTGACTGTCATAACAGTGAGCCAGTGGGAAGGCTGTTAGAATAACTGGTCAGATGCTACCTGCACAGGCCAGATGTGCTCTGAGCATGTCTGTGTAACTGTGTGGTGCCGTGTATCAGCGTGGGCCCAGTGCCTGAGTTTGTGGTTCACTGTGTGTGTTGGCAGAGTTTGGCATGTCATTTGGCAGGAGGAGAAAGGAAAATAAGCTCCATTTGCCTCCATTTTGGGGCTAGAGGTAATTACAGGGATGGTTAAGCAAAGGAAAGGATGAGAGAGGGAGAAAAGAGCGTGAGAGCAGGAAAGGACTGAACATCAACTTCAGTCTTGAGTTACAGTTCCAAGTATAGTTCTCACATTTCTGTTACCGTTGCTCTGTCGTTCTTCTCCAGTCTTTCTCCTCTGTCAGCCCCACACCACCCACTTCCACACATGTATAGTGGACTGCTGGTCTGAGGTTCATTTTTGTGGATCTTTGTCAGGCTGTGGTTTCACAGTGCAGTAGTGTCCAGGAGGTATAGCTCTAACCTCAGACTCTTTGCCTCCCACTGCACTTCTTTCTCTTCTTCCAAGATTTACATTCCCATTGCTCAGAAATATAGATTTATTCATCCTGTGTCCCTTAAAGCTCCACTGGCTCCGACAGGTGGTAGAACACATGCAGTTCTGGGTGAAGTAATGTTGCGCTAACAATTTAAATTTGTGTCGGCCTACTTAGTTTGGTGGCATGTGTTAATAGTTATTTTAAGAATGTTTATACAATAATGCTTGTGTTGTTTTTAGTCACTGACAAATTTTCTTTTCTCTCTCCACCCATCTGGTAACTCCTGGAAGCACTGCCCAAACAGCATTTATATCTGTGTGGCCTTGAAACCACCTTTTATTCTTTGTTTTTGTGTGTGTGTGTGTGTGTGTGTGTGTGTGTGTGTGTGTGTGTGTGTGTGTCTACACATGTAATAAGGAAAACAAGAATTTCTATATAGATAAGACATGACATCTTTGTTCTGGGAATTATACATAAGAAGGTTATTACAATTTACAGAGTTTTGTTTTAACTACATGCATTTTGACTTGTTTATGGCAGCGATCAGCTTTGTTGGGCTGTATATTCAGCTATGTTCAGTTCAGTAGGATGGTTTTTCTCTTTGCATATTTTCATTTACAGATCTGTCTTCAATTTTGAAAGGAGCACAAAGATTGGGCTTTCTGAAACCTGCAGCCCAGATACTGAAGAGAAACCTCTGTGCTTCCCATATTTAATACAATCCAGTAGTTACGATTATTCATCGTCCTTCGTGGTGAATCAGCTGACATTTTAAACTGTCACAGTTTTTAGTTCCACTCCTTATAGTCCTGCACAGTCATTTCTGAGGAGGTGATGGTCAACCACTTCCTGCCTGGCCTCAGGTGTCTCCGCAGCGACATGGAGCAACTCTCTCCTGAGCATGAGGTCAGGAGATGCAAAACAATGCATGCACTCTCACGTGCACAGGGAGGATTCCATGCACTGACTCTAGCACGTAAAATGCGCACATGCATATATCTATGTACCCGTGCGCTGATGGGCCAGACAGTCTCCTTCTTTCTGTCTCTTATTCCCAGAGGATCTCACACAGTAATGGTAGACAGACAGTCTGACCTGTTTCTCAGACATGCAAACACTCACCTACTATATTTATTTGTGTCTCAAAACTTCATGTGAGCATTTTCCCAGGGACACTAACAGTCAGCTGACACTCTTCCTTTCTGCACATCCGTCTTGTCTGGAAACTCTACTGTACTGTACATACCAGATTCTAAGACAGGAGTTATTTTCTGAACTGGAATGTTCATGCAGATATTTACAAGGTCTTTATTTTGTCATGTTGGGACAGAATTAGACCCACACCCTGTTTAGGACCACTCCAGCATGGTGTTTAAGTGTTGTAAAAGCATTCCCAAAGAAATCTCTTAGTAAATCATGACATTTGGGTTATAGAGACCTTTTTTATAAAGACCTCATTTTAGGTTAATCTGTCTCCATCATGTGCTTCACAGGTGATTCTGAGTTCTATGATCAAAGAGTGTGAAATCAAGGTGGAAAACAGAGGAATGGCAGATGCACAAGGGTGAGAACAATCAGTCCTATTCACACCATCATTTCTTCTGAAATCATTCCTGTATGTGGCAGCAGCAAGTGATGGCTTTTAAGTGGTAGTTAGGAAGAATTTGGAGGGTGGGAGTAGTCCTGCTGTGAGAAGAGGGATCACTAAAAAGTACCGGGTCTAGGACTGTATTGTGGCTTTGGGAATGGAGAACCGAAATGTGTTGGAACCTCACTCATGTGGGTATGTTCACATAAGGGGAGAGGAGAAAAACATCAGAGTTGTTGTTTTTGTAAAGCTAAGAGCTGCGACGTCGGCCATACTGTGGGTGTCTTCCAAAGATGTGTCTCCTGTCTTGTTAACATGTGTTCGGGGCTCATTAAAAATAGAAGTGTGTGTGTGTGTGTGTGTGTGTGTGTGTGTGTGTGTGCATACAGAGTAAGCTTAGTTTTGGGTGTGTTCCCCCCCAAAACCATCACTTGAGCTCTGAGGTTAAAATCTCTGCTTTGGTGCCAGAAGACTTCAAGTCGTTTTGAATTCTCCTACAGTAACTGACAGTTTGGATCCTCTTTTTAACCGCAAGTGTAAGGAGTTTTTAAGACACAGATTTTCTTAATGTGGCCATCCTGATAGCTTGTGGTTGGTACATCCCACTTTTTAAGTGGCATCATTTAAAATAGGTGACATTTATTTTTACTCTGTAGGTACCACTACATTCTATTGCTTAAGTCACAAATGTTTTAATACTTTGTGCATTTCAGAAATATATACATATGAAATTGTGATAATAAACATAAGTGTGTGTGTGTGTGTGTGTGTGTGTGTGTGTGTGTGTGTGTGTGTGTGTGTGTGTGTGTGTTATAAATATATTGTTTTAAATATAATGTTTGCCCTTCTGTTGAGCAAAAGGACAGCTTGGCACTCGGCAAGTTCCTCTTTTGAGTAAGCTGGGATTCAAAGCCGTTAGACTGTAAAAAAACAGGAGGGGCTTTATTGGCAAACAGCTTTTCCTTTCCAAACAAGTAAAGATTGACATAGTAGAGGATTGACTTCTTTATTAACATCTGTGGGCTGAAAGAAAATCACAAACAAAAAAATGATTGGAGAAAACAAATGTAGTTAAACCTTTTTGGTTGTTCATGACCAAATACAACCTTTAAAGCCTGTTTTTTTTTATTTTTTATTTTCCCCTAGCTCCATGTCCATTGCCTCCAGCTTGGTGGGCGAGGATGCCAAGACCAAGTTCCTAAGCAAGATGGGCCAGCTAACCACCTCTGGTGCCATGTTGGCTAATGTCTTCCAGAGAAAGAAGTGATCCCACTGACACTGACTGGTCAAACACCGCAGCTAACTGACAAAACCCTGCTTTCTCTGGGAGTGTGTCATTTTACTGGGCAAAGCACCGGTTCAGCTTAAAGTAGAAAAAAAAAGTCAAGTGTGATGTTTGTTCAGTTTCCAGAAGTGAAGGTTTTCTGGAAGTTGATTTAAAGTGTCCAGTGCAGCAGGACTGTCTATAAGCACCGTGTTTATTGCAGTGAAAGCTGAGGTTTTCCCCTCTGCATTATTTTCTCTCCCTGAATTCATAATTATGAAGAAAGTCATCAAGTCTTTTATGAATCAGTGTTGGTAATGTTTTCATTTCAGGGTAAATGGAGAGTGAGAGCAAAAAGTCTGAACAGTATTGAAACTCACCACAAAGTGATATCAAGGGGTGTGTTTTCCCTGGATATCACTTGACATGAACGTATCTAGAATTAGATTTTCAGTGCACTACTACTTGTTTTAGAACAGGTCTCATCTTATACAAAACTCTGGTCATGACCTGCTGGGTTTCATTTAGAATTTTAACACCATTTTGGAGCCGACAGCTGCATTAACTGGCGTATGTGAGTGAACTGAAAGTTTGAACCACAAAATGGCTCTGGGCGTCTTAGGAATGCCTTGTACAATGTGGATGTGTGGCTCAGAAGCGTTGCCTACTTGAAGCTAAAAAACATTGTCTCGCCTTTATTTCCTCAAAGTCCATCTCTGGTATTTTGTTTCAATGGCTTCTGTTTTATAACTTATTTATGTCTTAATGAAGAAAAATACTTTATTCCAACTTCCAAAGAAATTTGCACTTCACTTTACTGTTTTGTTCTTTATATATATATATATATTGGCAATGTGAAGTTGAAGAAACACTGATCATAATGATTCCCTCTCTGTTGGGCACATCCTCTGTCTGTGTTGCAGTGTCTCTGATAATTGTACGGGGTTTTTTCTTCTTCTTTTTCCTTATGTGGGTATTTGATTCTGTTTCTTGTTGTTCTTTTTGGATAATGGTGTAGGAGAAACTGTAAATAACTGTATCATACACTGAACTAATGAAGATGGTACTCATTATGTATATTTGAAATTAGTGTCATGGTGTAATAAAAGATGGAGATCAGTTGTGTATTTAAATGGATTTCTGGCGGTTTCGTTGAATGTCTGCATGTTGATAGACTTTTTCTTGTATATAATAAGTGTCAATCATGGTGCGAAGCTCTGACTGTGCATCAAGTGTCGGCAGGTGTTGAAGGCAGTAAAACGGAGCGGTTTCACAGACAGACACACTCCTGCTACCCTTTGATGTGGTCAACTGTCTACTTAGTACCACAAACCAAAGTCCATCTTACGGGACATTCCCAAGATCTTACTCCATATAAATACAGACAAAAGATCAGATCTGCTGTCAAGATTACAGTATCTCTCAGACATAAAGAGGCAATTTATCTCAGACCAAAAAAAATGTACCTTTCCTCAGAGAGACTTGAGGAATTTATCGGGGCAGTTAAACGTCAGTGGTTGCGGTTTCAGTGTGGAAGCTGGCAGGTTTTAGACAGTCCAGACTGACCTGTAGTGAAATCAAGTGTTCGTAATAGACATGGGTCAGGACAGGCCTGTGGAGCTGCACTCATCTAGTGGTTGAACATTATGTGAGTTAGTCAACACCGTTTGATAAAGAACAGCATTTGCATATTCAGGCTAATATTCAACCTTCAGCACTGATAACTCCCCAGGTGGATAAATAATTGATACGTGCTGGGAGGAGTGGCGGTATGTGTGTATCACATTGTGTGGACAAATTATTGTGCATCATTACGAGGACATTTTGGCCAGTCCTCACAAATTCAGTGGGTTTTGACGGTTCAGATGTATTTTTGTGGTTAGGTTTGTCTTGGTGTAAGGACTGGAGTTTAGACATTTAATTGTGATGGTTCAGGTTGGGGTAAGACGCTAGGAAATGCATTACAGAAGGACAACTGTGTGTCTGATATGTGTGATTTACATTCAACTTGAATAGGTTCGATCTTTTTTGTGTTAAAAGTGTTTGTCAGTGGTGGAAGAAGTACTCAAGATTGTTTACTTAAGTAAAGTAGTAATATCACAGTGTAAAAAAATACTCTGTTACAAGTAAATATACAAAAGCATTAGCATAAAATTATACTTTACTTCATTATGCAGAATGACAGTTTACATTATTGATGTATACATCACTTTATTGTTGCAACTGGTAAAGGTGGAGGTAAAGTTAACTACCGTATATACTTTTTGAAGTTCTGCACTTTACATACTGCTAGGCAGCTTTTGAATTTTACACCAAGGATCAATAACGTCATGATTTTACTGTATTTTGTTGTATTCATTTCATTTGGAAAAGCAACAAGTAACTAAAGCTTTCAAATAAATTTAGTATGAACTAGGACAAAATTAAAATACTCATGTAAAGTACAGATATCTTAAAATAGTACTTAAGTATAATACTTGAGTAAATGTACTTAATTACTTTCCACCTTTGCTTCTTCTTGTCAAGACCCTTGCTTTTGCAAATCTGCTAATGAACCTGTGTTTCTGTATATGCATGTGTGTGTTCCTAAAAATGATCCTGCCATTTTGTTTGTGTGTGTAAGTGGCGTCAGCCGGCATCTCTGACTCACATTTGTGACTCGGGTGACTCACGGATCACATATGTCTCCAAAGCAAGCAGAAGCAACTTAGATCCGATCCTAAAACCACCGGAACAGCTTTAATTTTATTTTTCCACTCTGTGTATATGTGAGGCCTGTGTGCGTGTTCTTCTGGCTTGTGTACTTTTCAGTGTGTTTAAGGGAGACCTCTCCCTTGAAGCTTCCTCCAAAATCCTGGTACCAAAACAGGCTGTGGCTGCTTTCTTCTATGGAGCAAGTGTGTGTTACATTAATGGAAACCATTCAGCTGCTTATGGTGTGTGTGTGTGTGTGTGTTTGTGCATCTACATTTTTACATTGGCTTGCTGTAAGTGATGCTAAGCAACACAAGCTGCGTACACAGCTACACAGTTGTGCTCTGATCCAGGTCATTTGTATTGCAGTGCTTGTAGACCAGCATGGCATCTAGCTGCAGTGGATCCATCAGAGCAAGTTACACTTAGCCTTCTGTGTTTAAAGTGGGGCCTAACAGGGTCTTGTCTGTGCTGCCAGTTTAATTTTGTCATCGGGGGTGGCCGCAGTATGAATGTGTGCACTCAGAGTCAAGGTTTGTGATTGCTAAAAGAGTCTAATCTCACCCTTATTGCTACTGTGCACGCTGCAGAGGCTCCACCACAAACAGCTTCTCTCAGCATGTTTTTACAGGAACAGAGACAGAGGGAACACAGAACCCATTACATTCATTTGGCTCAGCTTAAAACCTTCATTATTCTTTATTTTTCTCCACTGCTTAAACATTTCCTTAAGTTCATTTCTGCATATTGTGATTAAGAGATGATTGGCTGATGTTTTTAGTTATTGTTTGGCAGGATAAACTTATTTTTCTGAAAACATCTGGAAAGTCACTACCCCAGAAACTGCAACATTGTTATGACATACTGTAATCTGAATAATGACTTTTTATAAGAGTTTCTCATGTTTCTTATATCTCTTAGTCCACATTAGTCGCTCTTGTTTATAACAACAACTCTTTTCTTTCTCTTCACCTCTCCTCTCTCGTGCCAATCAACCTGGCTTTATCCATTGGAGGCCTACACATGGATTTTAATATTTGCATAACTGTCATCTTGAAAAGAACATATTCTTCAACCTCTTAAATCTTAACTCTCTTGTTTTGCCAAAGTAGGTTTGGTGTAACCTGTAATGCAAATTCAGAGGGTGCGTTTTCTCTCTCCTGTGAACAGAGGTACTATACCTCAGTAAATTATGCTGTTTTTTTTTTTTTTTTTAGAAAATACAGTGGTAGTTTCACAGCCCACATTCAAGGAACTATGCTGAGAGCGGCCTGTTCTCTTCCATGATGAATGGCACATGTGAGATATGACATTTTTTAAAGTGACCACATGCTTTGTCTACAGTGTGTAGGGCTCCACTTGTTTGGCCAATCACACAAGTGTAACTTGGCAAACTTTGCAAATAAGTTATGTATGTTATCGGGCAACTAAACATTAAAGTTGGATGTCATGGAACCAAATTCCAGCGCAAAAAGCTTCATGCTACCACGGTGAGATCACCGGCAACAAGCATGCACACTAATTGTCATACATTCATTAATTCCGAGGGAAAGATTGTTCTATAGCGCGATGGGTAAACCTTTTTTCTCTACATATGACAACATGGGAGGAGTTCCTGCTATCCCTCATCTGCGCACTCACTTTTCACAAGCTGTTGCTTGCAGTTCTCTCCATAACGTGTGGGTGAAGAGAGAAGAGAGAAGAGAGGAGCGTTTGGAACTTCAGCTGCGGGAACGAAGGCGCAAGAATGCCTTGTGACAAAGTGTGGAGGCTTCGCCACATTTACTGTGAGGGAGTTTGAAGAAGACTCGCATCGTGTTGTTTAGAGTCGCCTTCTTGGCTGAGTAAGAACAGTCCACCTCAGAAACAGTGTTAATTAAACAGCAGAGATGAGACTGAACTTTTCAACTAGTTGGATATTCCGAGGCTGGATAACGTGTGTGCTCATCACCTTGTACGCACAGGTAAATGCACATTTATGCTATTCATTTTCCTAATTGCAACATTTAAAATGTATTTAAACATTAAGGTAGTTGATACTTGCTTTATTGCCGTGTATCTTATGCACAGGGTCTGTCAGGTTTTATTGGCAGTGCCAACGAGGATGATGCTTATTTTATTTTTTTTTAGTAGAGATGTGTTCGGCGGGGAGGGGGGGCTGACTGGGCACTGACTGGAAACAGTTGTGTTTGGGTCGAGTCCAGGTCCCCCATTCTGACCGCAAAACACCCGCCAGGTTCTCAAAATGAGGAGCAGGGGCCAGTAACGGTCCTACAGGGATCCAGAGGTGTAATCGTTGTTTTTTTTATTCCCTACTAAGCACACGGATGGAATCTGTCATACTGTAAAACCATGTCTCTGCTGACACGATTTAGTTTGAGAGGAAAAGTGACAGGCATTTTATTGTGAATGTTGTTTAGTCCAAGCAGCTAACTGTGCCCAGGTGGAGCAGTTTAAAGGATGTGGTTGTAGTGGTGGGACTGCTGGGCACCAGTGATCTATCACTTCCTGTTTGCCTGTATCACTGTAGGCCAGCATTGTTATGACTTTGGCTGGAACAGAGGCTCTTTTTCTCCTGGTTTTCTCTGCTTCATCAAAATGTGTTAGAGAGAATGCTTAGGTGGGACACTGCATCTTGTCCAGAGATCCAGAGATGCAAACACTGAAGAAAGATGTTTTTTTACACAGGTTGCCAAATTCAACCCAGGGTTTTTCAAATAGTGGTAACAAGAGGCAGCAAAAACAGATATGGTGCCTGGAAACAAGTCAGTGTGCAGAAAGAACAACTTTTTCCATCTATGTTTTAAGGTGACACTGCAAGCCTTTGGCTTTGGCTTATTCTTACTAGGGTCTCGACATTACTGACTCACAGTATTCCCAAAGAATTCCCCTTCATTTTCTTGGTTTGCAACCACTTCATACAATCCATTCCAAATTCACTTCGTAGTGTATGTATGACATTGAGCAATACAAAATGACTTCAAGATGTTGAAACCTTAAAGTCAGTATATTATGAATTAATTTTCATGCCTGCCCAACTGGCTCCTGTACTTCTAACTGGCCGGCTTCTCAAGCCATCATTTAAACATCTGTCCTCCTTTCTTTCATCCACCCATTAACAATCTGTCACTACCTCTCCCCAGTTTTCTCTCATTTAATATTTAACCAGCTTCACTTTAAACAATTTTTCGTTGTCTGTATTTCCATCTGTCCATCCAGTCACCATTACATCAGTAATCAGTGTTTTATCTACCTTCTCTTGAGCAATAGGACTACAGTACATTTCCTCAGGATGCAGATTTGATTTTACATTTCCAGAACGCAAAGGTATTTTATTTGATAGATAAAGCACATGGCGTTGTAAAAACAACAGAGCTTTGTGTGGAGACATGACAAGGAATTATAATTGTTGTAAGACCTTTAGTTTGTCTGTAACACACCTGGACTAAGCTCTGTCAAGTCCCCTTAAAGCAAGTTGTCTAGGGACTTATTTCCAACTTTTTAAAAGTTTCTTTAAGTTGTGCTTTACATGTTTGTTCACCCATGGCAGTTACACTAACTGATCCTGGTAATTTTTAGCTCTTCTTTTTATTCTAAAGAAGCCACTGTTTCTGCTGTAATGACTGTAAAATACACAAGTTCCTTTGCAGCAGAGATTTTTTCTCTGTCACCTGATACTGGATCGTAAAAGAATCACAGCCAGTTTATTAAAACAGGCACCAGAAAGTGGCAAGCAAATTAAAACTCTTTTGATTAATATTTGAGTAATAAACCATTAACTATTTTAAAGCTAAAACTTTTTGTAAGTATTTATCAGTTAAGTATGAGATTTTCATAACAATAAAATCAAAACAGTTCATGCAGGTTGCACTTCAAAAGGATTTGTTTTTAAAGAACTAGCATGCTGCAAATATTATACAAAGAATCAGAAGTTGTGCAATATGCTTTTATAGCACCTTATCTTGGTGCTGAAATCCCGAGAGGCCTAAAAGTCCCACCATGCTTCTCTTGGCTCAGCGCCACTGGCTGCTGAGGCCGTTATGCAAATTCTTACATAGTTCGACAACAAATGGAATGTACTCTGTGTCACAGTTGTGTTTGATAGGATCACACAACTGAAGAAGGATTTTTAAAAGTTAAATAAAACAGCCTGGAAGAGATGAGTAAAAGAGAAGTCACAGAATATCAGTAACTAATGAATGCATTTCTATCTGTCTGTCTACAGTATTTATAAAAGACATAAACCTCTCAGCATGGGAACCTTTCCTCCTTCTGTCACTTCTGTGCACTGCAGCACATGGTCCTCATTAGTGCTGCAGTCTGAGTTATAAGCGCTGCGTATCATTATCCCTCTGTTTAGATGATAAAACAAAGACTGGCTGATGTGCGAGAGGCTGAGCAGAGGAAACTGTGTAAACACTCGCCAGTGTTTTTACTTTTTATTTAAGCCGATCTTATTGTTTGTCTTTAAAATTTCAATGTAATGCCTAGGAAAACAAGAATCCAGCAGGTCTTTCAGAATTTAATTGTTGTTAGAATCAGTTCAAACCACAAAAATTGAAGTGGTAGTCTGCATTTAGTAGTGAGCGAAACTCAGGCATACAGTACGTTTGTAAATGAATAAAGATTGTTTTCAACAATGCATGAATATAAAGTAACATTTAATTGTAGGGTACAGATGATGCAGTCATAGTCAAGACAGAGATTCTGACCAGCTACAGTATTATTACAGCCTAAATATATGTGAATCTATATGAGGCAGTAGGAAAAAAAATGGGGCATAATTTTATGGGAAAAGAATCTTTGAGAAGTGATGAATGAGCAAAATAAAGAGGCTGGTCTGAGGTCAAAGTGTAGTCAAGCCTATAGGTTGTATTTTTCTACATTTATATATACACCCTGTGGCTTTGGCACAGTTTCTGTCATAACAGCTACATTCTCTAATTCAGCAATGTGGCCTCTAAATTAGGGCGGCTGCAGGGTGTGTACAGTGTGTACTGTATGTGTGTGTTTGGCTGTGTGGTTTATCTTTACAGCTTATACTAGATTTATTGTTTAAAACATGCACAGATGTTTCACTGTTCACCTTCACGTCCCTGTGGCGCTCCATGCTCATGCTATAGCACAGTGTTGAATAATTGCAAAAAATCTAGCATCAAGCAAGTTAGGCCAGAAGATATCATCTCGTGGGGACCACGAGATGATATCAGCTGAGTTTAAGCAAACCGGACACAACTGCATTTAATTCCAGTTGTTTGTTCTTATTTTAATCCACTACTACTGGTTTCAGTATGTTTTTTTGTTTGATGCTGTGGCCAGGTGCTTCCAAGAGTGTGGAAAGAATTCCTGGGCATGTCTTCTTGGAAAAATTTTAACCTCCTTCTTCTTCTTCTCATTACTCACTGCCATCCCAAAATATCACATGTAAGATCTGAAAGACCAACTAAAGACAGAGAAATGATGTCCATGGTAAAGTGTGTCATACGCTGAGGGCAAATGTAAAGCACTGATGGAAACCCGATGTTCTTCATCAAGCAAACTGTGATAGATTTCATAATCTTGAGAAAGGATGGTAGCACTCATGCAGATTGTTTTTACACCTCTAAATACTGTATATGTTGTAAAAAGGTACAGGAGTGTCTTTTGTACTAGTTGTCATGTGTTCCTGTCACATACAAATCTAAGCTAACAAAAAACTAATTTTGTCTCCTAATATTTTTAGCATGTGGTCTCCAAATCTCTGAAGTGCAATGAAAATCAATATTTAAAAAGCTCCAGATGCTGCGAGAAGTGTCAGCCAGGTAACACACACACATATTCATTTTTCTATGTTTGTGAGGACACTCATTGACATAATGCATTTCCTAGACCAGAACCCTAACATTAGGAAGCTGTGTCAGCATACTGCATATCTGGATTACTCAGTGGAAGCATTAAAGTAAAAATAGATTTTCATTCACAAAGATTCTAATTTAAAAGAGGAAGTATGTCTAAACACACACACAAAGATATATGAGCCTCTAAGAGGAAAGAGCTCTAATTTTGTCAATTTCCTTCATCTTTTTTCTTTTGCATTAGGTTTGTTGTGATTACTGTGATTATGTATGAACTGTTGAATCAATCTTTCTCCTTCTCCTTCTGTCTCTCGCTCTCACATTTTTAGGCTTCCGTGTGTTTTCTGACTGCAGCGACTCCCAGCAAACTAAATGTGTTCGATGTAGCCGTGGTGAATACCAGTCTGACTGGACTGATGAGAAGCGCTGTCTCCAGCAGAAATTCTGTGACCCAGGTCAGCACCACTGCCTGAACAAGGATTTCAAATTCATGGCACAGCAGCACTAACTCCATAAATTATTTGTCTTCTGCTGTGGCTCTGTGATTTTTCTGTACTGTACTTACTCTGCCTTATTAACCTAAATGTTGTTCTGCACAGCAAACAGGTCAGCTGCTGCATACCGATCCACAGTTTCTAGATGAGTTCAGCATCAACAAAGCTATCACTACATTTTTATTTTCTGTAAAATCCAAATACTTCTTGAATGACTCTTAGTTAATAACTGATGTAAATGAAAGGTTAAGTAATACAGGTTAGTGTAGGTAGTGTAGTTGCCTGAGTGCAAAGATATGTCTGTTTCTATGCATGGACAGGAATTCAGTGTTTCCTGAACCATGAATTCAACACAAAGCAAACAAACGTACACAAAAAAGGGTCTGCGGTGTATTTTGGTAAAGGCCTGTGTTGTATTATTGTGTTCCATGGCTTCCTTGTTTCATGCAAGAGAACAGTTTTTCCTCAGTTTGATTTAAAGGGATGTTTCAACCAAATCACTAATAGTTAAGTAAATGAATTATAATAGATTCATAAAATATCTGTGCAGATTCTCAGTCATCCAGGTCATAGTAAACCGCAACCGAAATAACCTTGGAAATCAACTGGACTTGGAATTCTAAATTGAAAGTTGATTTCCAAGGTTATTTCGGTTGTAGATTCATAAAGTTTTTTCTTAAGTTATCACTTCTCCCCACTTGTATTTGGCCATGTTGACAGCTTCAGTTTGCTGGAGATCAGGTTGCGTCATCTGGATCAGCTTTGTTCTACAGAAGAAACAGTCCCTATGTAAACTGTTGGAGAAGTTACTATATAACCTCTGTTTGGGGATTCTCTTTTTTACCCAAAATGCTTTGATCATCATAGAAAATCTTCACATTTACACTTTTGATGATTTGAACTTAAAATAATTTAAAAACTAGCAGCTACACAGATACAACTTCAGCCCGTGGAATGGGGTTTTCAAATGGGATGTGGTACCTGTGCACTAAAATCCGTCCCTCTCTGACCTCCAGTGAAGGGTTTTATGGAGAGGCCTGAAAATCTCATGGCAGAGGAGCCGTGTCGCTGCCGCCCCCCACTCCAGTGCCATCCCATCAACTGTGAGTTCTGTGAGAGCATACCCATCTGCAATCCTGGACAAGGACTCAGAGTGGACCCTGGTGAGACATGCAAAGACAAAACATTTCATATTACAGCGGGATGTCACTTAGAGATAGACTGTAATATATGTTGTTAATTCCAGAGTCTACTAATGGAAGGATGGACTGTTTTGCATGCACTAAGGGTTTCTTCTCTGCTGGCAACCATGAACAGTGCAAACCTTGGACTAAGTAAGTGTGTGCACACACATGCACAGTTTTTAGCCTGGAATCTTTGACATTGTTAAAGGAAATGGACACCAGCTTCCACTGACAGCTGACGATGATGACAGTGATGATGGTGGTGATGATGATAATTCTTCTTCACTCTGTGTTTCTGTGATTTCATCTCTCCCAGTTGTAAGGCTGAGGGCAGGAGTGAGACACAGCCAGGTAGCGCTCAAGCCGACGCAGTGTGTGGACTACCTGTGTCTGGTAAGACCTGCTCATATTCAGAACAGACTATCACCATACAGTTGAATGCATTTAACATCTACTCAAATGAAAGTACTATAGTAAATTAGGAGTGCTATTTAAAGTAAATGCCATAAGAAATAGAGGAGAAATCTCATATCTGATTTTTTGTATAGTTTTGTTTGGCGGTGGAAAGTAACCAGGTACATTTACTCTAGCACTGTACTTAAGTGCAGTTTTGAGATATTTGTACTTTACATGAGTATTTTCATTCCACCATTACAGTAGAGTACAAAAGTGACTTGTCTTTCTTGCAGGTGCACCACCCTCCTGGGTTATAGTTTCAGTTCTGTCTGTCATTACTGTTCTGTGCCTCCTCATCCTACTCCTCTTCTGTTATAAGGACAAACTGAAATTACTGTCTGGTAAGTTACAGCCCCGTTTGAACCGTGAAGTTCTCCTAGTTGTTGTTTTTACACGAGGTGACATCACAGACATTGGTTCAAAATAGACTTGCCCCTGGATTTTATTCTTTATTAAGGTACTATATGTTGTCTCTTTGTCTAGTAAATCTGCGATCCTGTGTTCAAAATCTGAAGAGGACTAGAATACAGCAGGTAAAGTGGAATTTCAGATGAAAAGCAATGGACATACACAAAAACCAAATTTATTGCAAGTAGTCTCACTTATTATATTGCTTACTTTTTGGTTTTTGTTGTTGTAGGAGACCTTGGCCCCTCTTTACCACAGTGGAGGTCCCAAATGTGCACCATGTGAGACAACCAAACTCATCTGCCAATCACCACGCAACCCCACAGATGAGTCCTCGTGCACATTGCCCTCTTCAGATCCTGATATAAAGGTCTCGCTGCCTTTCACAGGGGAATTGACAGAAAAAGAGGGGACTAATGGGAAGACGGTGAAGGAGGATCAGAGCGAAGGGTCTGGAGAACCAGAGGAGGTGTCAGAAGAAGAGGACGTTGTGAGCGTGCCTCCTCTTTTGGCAGGCTCTTGTGTGTGTGTCATTCCCATTTGTGAGCCACTGGAAGTAGGGGAGAATGAGGACTGTAGCCAGGCCGTCAGCCCCGGGACGCCAGGCACCTGCTCATGCCGAGGACTAGACGGAGAGAGGGGTGGAGATGAGGGTGGGAAAGAGAAGAGTGAGAGTGTAAGGGTAGATAATGGTGGAGAAAAGGGTGGTGGAAATCAAGAAACGATGGTTTTGTCCAAGAGTGAGACAGGTTGTGCATCTCTTCCTCCTCTTCCACCTCCCCTCTTCCATATCTCCTCAGCAGCCCCTCCATCCAATCCATCTCCTGAAGTGCGCCTGCCATTGTCCCAGGCTCAGGTGACAGCGAGGCTCAAAAATCACTTGACTGACAGGTCACTGGTTAAACAGGAGGAATTATGTAGCCTGGCAAGCACAGACACCACCTCAACAGAGGACAGTACAACCTCTGCGATGACCTCTGTCAGCCACCTGGTGGCTTCCTCATCTGTTGGAGATCTCTACATGGACAAGCCCCTGGAGGCCTCGAGCCCAGAGAAAGGCCAGAGACTTTTCTGGGAAGACAGTAGTGGAAACAAGCTCTCTTCTGAGGAGTCAAAACTGGAGTGTTCACCTGAGAGCCTCCATAGTCAGTTGGCTGAACCAACTGTTAATTCAGGTAGATGAACATGTAAAACTGCTCTGTATGTACACTACCACTCACTTTCCCTTTGAATTGAACAGGAATGTGCGTCCAAATGTCTGTCTGGAAGTGTAAGTCAATTTCTGCCAGAAAAAGACAAAAATATATGGAATGACAAAAATGAAAATACCTATGTGAAGACTTTGCGACAATTAACAATGAGAAGTTAACGTCATTAAGTTAAAAAAGTAAAAATTTATTTCAAAAAAGTTATTAGAATAAGTGCAAAATTGAGCCAAAATCATGACTTTTAAGTTGAAGTTATTAGATAATACTTTTGACTTGCTGGTTCTATCTAATGGTGCAAGTTGTGCTTTCAACTGTTAAAAATTGGATTTACTATCTCAAATTTAAACTTAAAAGTCATTTTGATCTCATAATTATAATCAGAGTTTACCATTACAAAATCAAAGTAGTATTTCCATTAGTATTTTTATTTTTACACTTTTTTATAACTTCACATGACAATACTGTGTGATTCCCAGAAAGCCAAGCCATTTTTAGACTGACAATATCACAATGTTACAGCCACTCGGTGTCGGTGCTCAACGTGCAGTGGCTGTGCTCTGTGAGGATTCTGCGTTCTTTGTTTTTGTGGGTAATCACTATGGTGTTGCCACAGGACCACACCCATACGTGATTTGATACATAGCCACTAAGAATAACAGAATGAAATTGGTGTTGGTTTTAATGGGAAGTTTTACTATCACATGGTTGGACTTGTATTGTTCTCACAGAGGCTTTTACACACTGCCAAAAAGAAGAAAAATCTCTGGGAAACATATTTGTGTACTGTGCTTGACATACTGAGTGGTTACGGTTAGTTATAAAAGCAGTGTTATGAGAGCAGTCGGGTTCGGGACAGTGGTTAGCTCAAACTGGGGTCTCATTAGGTGAACACATTGAGCACAACTTGTAACAGGGAACTGGTTTCAGTGGAAAAATAAGAAGTTTGTGTGACTGTTTCAAAGAAATATGTTTTATTAATGCCGGTATTGATAGTTGGACCCTGAGTTTTGGGAGACCACCCAGGGAGCAGAAATACGGTATGTGTGTGTTTGATTAGCTAGTGAACCACCAGAACCACATTCTAACATAGTGTGTGTGTCCGTCAGTGTGAACTATCCCATCTACAAAGCTCCTGTTTATCCAGAGTTCTGTAGGGTTGTGCAAAGTGACCACAGCTTTAATTGAAGCAAGATGTGTGCAGCTTGAGTAATACTTTTATAACCCTGCCTGCCCAACAAAAAACACACACAAAGTTGTTTGGACTCTCACTGATGACGAGGTACTTTAATTACAGGCTGGCTTGAAATGAACACCATTTCCCATCATACAGTAATGGGAGCTGATTAAATCAACTTCCCATCCATGCTATTTAAAGGTTAGGCAATGGGTCAGAGGTGTCGCCTCTCCACTTGAAATGTTTTTTTTTAAATCCCAGGTCTTACATAGTTCACACTTACAGAAGCTGTCCAGTACACAACATCAGCCCTAGTGTTGGCCACTCAGGGGCACCTCAACAGTGCTCATGACCCAGATTTAGCCTGCTGGTTGAGGAATTAACCTGGCTGCTAACCAGGTGAAAAATAATTAAGGTTTTGAGAAGAACTGGATACAAGTGTGGGTTTCATAGAGGTTGGACAGGAGAGGATTTTTACTGCTGTTCAGTTTTGCCCTGTCAGACAACTTGTATTGCTACAATTTCTCAAAATCAGCTCAGTATTAAGAAAACATAAACAGAAGAAACCCAAGCAGATTCCATGGAGCTGTGTTTTCAAACTTGTGGTGTAGTGACATTGTCTCAATGTAGACCTCTCAGACTGGTATTCTGGGAAAGGCTCAGACTGGGGAACACAAAGTCCCCATCTCTGTGAGTGTGTGATTTACAACTTTATAGGGCTAAGAGTGCCTTTCAGTGTATGTGTGTGCAAGTCAAAGTGTTTTCTAGAGCCTTTTTGCTTACTGCAATTGTGTGTGTGTGTGTGTATGGACATAATACTGTTTGTGTGAGTAGACGAGCCATGAGCTGTGAGTCACAGAAGGTGGGCTGTCTGCTGGAAAGACAGACAAGCAGCTGGATGAATTGGGAACCAGAGGATTTATGTGGTGACTGATGGCTTACATAACAAAAAACACACTGTTTATTTCCTAATTAACCCGACTGGCTCAAATCCACAGTGAACAGTATATGGACATTAGTAGAAAGGTACAAGTTTGAACAAGTGAGTCTGAGGCAGGAAACACTTTGGAGAGGCAAGTTGAGAGAAGCAATTTAAAGTTCTCTTATGGAGAGACATTATGGGACAAAGTAAAAGTTAGGAGGAGTCAAACTGTACCTTTCTCTTTATAGACGTCTTCAGATTCTCACACTAAAAAGTGCTGGACACTGAAACAAAAACACAAAAAGGATATGATATGGCAACCTACAGTATGTAGCTGTGGCCTCTTTCTGTGGTCATTCTACATGGTCATTACTCCCACTGTCCATTTGCCAGCCATGATTAGCCAAGATTTAGTTTATATATGCACATATATTAATATATATATATGTATATGGGAAATGTGCACATTTTCCAACAATGGGTCAGTGCATTTGCCATTTTCTACACCAGAATAGGAAATGCTGATTCATTCCCTGTAAAACCAGGGCCTAGTCACACTGGCCCACTTGAAGTCAAAAGTGTAGGTGCTTTACTCCATTTTATATATAAAAAAATGCTTAATAATTGAAAGTCTCTGGCAATTATTAACCCTGAATTGTGTCCCTTTCTCACTTTTTAACCACTCTCCTAGTGTTTATGTGTTTTTGACTTTTCACAATCTCTATTCTGTCCATTCAGCTCAGGTGTCAAGGAACCACAGTACCACCTTCATCTCCAGTGGTCAGGTGATGAACTTCAATAGCGACGTTGTCGTTGTCTATGTCAGCCAGACATCTCTTGGCAGTGATGGGGCAGGGCAGGATGATGCCTTTGGAAGCCCTGTCCAAGAAGAGGCCGTTGAGACGGCTCCATTTTTTCAGAGCAGCCTGGTGTCACAAGGGGACTTTTCCCACATCACCTCGCGAGAGGAGGAGACACTGCCAGTCCAAGAAGTGATGGAGGAGCAGCCAGTGGGGAAGTGAAAACTGACCAGTAGCTGTGTGTTATCAGTCAGCACAGCGATCAGCTCAGATAGGCATTGCATCACCGTATAAATCTTAGCTCCCAATGAAATTACAAAATAATTATGTCCTACTACAACAGCTTTCCATACAAGAACTAGGAGAGGAAGGGGACTGGTCAGTAGACTGAAGAAGAAACCTTTAAAAATGTGAAGCTATCATTCTAAGCCCATGTATTTTTTGGAATGTAGTCTAACATAAATTTGTCCCATTTCATGCATTGGTTACTGAATCTTGCCTCAGGCATCCCTGGTGTTTCTTTTTTCAACGTTCAGTTGAAAGCTGCAGTTTTCATTCAAGAAAACCCACCATGTTCTTGACAATGATAGGGAATTTAACTGGGAAATGAATGTGGAGTCAGAGTTCAGACTGGAAGAACGCCATGTTTTCATGATTGTATGAAAACTTCAGCTGGACCTTGACACAAAGTGGTTGCTACATTTCCTATAGGGCACTTTTCATTATAAAATAGCCCAGTTTAAAATCTGTGGACTCTCAATTTGACATTTGGATGATTTCAATAGTTTCCTTACATAACAATACACTATATCCATGTAAATATAGTTGTTTGGTTTCACAGAATTTTGTCAAATTTTTATATGAAAAAATTCTGTGTACTAGTTACATTAAGATTTTTCTGCATCAAATTAAAGATTTTTTTTTTTTAAATTAACATTTAAATCTTAATTTCCCCCTTTTTGTTTTGTTGTGTCTAACAAAAGCAATTTTACAGTAAGGAGACATCCAGTTTTGGTACAAAGCTTGGTTCTCCTCTGTGCCGACTTTTCTCTCTTCTTATTGCACCACATGTGCAGTTTATGAAAAAAAAAAATGCTATGCATTTGATAAGCTATTTTATTACTGGTTTTGTTATGTTTCATTGTGTTTTAAAGTGCAGGCATTAATGAAGAAAAGTAAAACTATCAGGCTGTTTATAATGTTTTGTTTTAAATAATTTTACTAAATAGGTTGTTTATGTAATATTTCCAAAGATTCATATGTGATCAATCTTTGTATATATTTCAAAAGACAAAAAAACACAATGTATTTGTGAAATGAGAATGAATATTTCCTTTGTTGCTTCCTCTCATTTGATTAGTGATATGGACGAGTTAAGTTAAGTGGAGATGCCAAACGCACACATTCAAGGTGTTAAAAGGGACTGTTCATATGTATGCAGCCTTGCAAATAATTATATATACATGAATCAATCTGGAAACTGAAATAATATTTTTGATTCAAATTAAATATGTTTTGCATTTAATCCCTTCGGGGACAGCTTCTATCCTGCATTTTGTGGTTTCTTTATGCCAACTTTCTTATTCTGGAGTCAACAAATTACAATGAAAGAATCATTTATATCCACAAGATGATCTGTAATCTTTGTGAAACTATGCTAATTACACATGTGGCAAGAGCTCTCTGTCTTTGTCCCTGTACTGACAGACACACAAACAGGCAGCTTTTTATCTGGCCTGGGGATGGCGAGCAGCTGTGAGGAGAAATTGATCTAACAGTGAGACCAGCTAGCGTCACAGGAAGACCACATGAGAGGAGCTGGCAGCACTCATTTAGGCCTGGTTTGGGTCAGCAGTATTATGTTTATATATGTGTGTATACATGTGCATCTTCTCTCAGCTTATTTTATGGTTGTTTGTGAAAACAGGAAGTTATGACTAGCTTTCACATGGTTTACATGAGTCCTGGCTGACACAGTACCTGACTGTAGATTTAAATAATTTCAGCCTGTGTTTAGCTTTCCATGTGTGAGAAAAGGATCCCTGGTTTGAAGAAAGATGCCCAGTAAGTCCTAAAGTACTGCATTTTGCTACAGTCCGTCCCCTAGTGGTGACTGCACATTAGGAACATAGAGAAAGACAATTTATCTCAAGTAAAAATGATCAAAAGCAGTGCAGGACAAAACAAGGTTGTCACAATTTTATAAGCTCTTCCTAAAACCTTTTGATAAAATTGGTGTTCCTCTTCTACAAATGCAAACACATGACCCAGTAACACTGCACACATGCAATTTGTAAGTTAATAAAATAAAAGAAACAGAAGTCTCTAAAGGAGGTGAAATCCACTGGGGAGATGTTTCAGCCCTTTCAAGGACCAAATACACATTCACCGTCAACCCAGTCAGTAATTAGGATAAGTTCTTCACACAAAGCTCAGTGATAACTTAGACCTTCCTGTGGAAAGCACCAGAAAGCACAGTGGTGAAATGCTGAAATTGTAGTCGCCTCACCTGCGGATGCAGGTTTTGAATTTCCCCTGCAGACTCTGCTGCACAGACGACCACTACAGCTACGATTCATGATCTTTCTAATACTGGTTCCTCATGTGGCGAATGCAGTTTCTAGGTACTTCTCAGATAATGATTATTGCATGTGAGACATGATAATGAGCTTATAAATGTGATGAATTCCTTCAGCTCAAATCATCAGAAAGCAAGCAGACAGGGCTCTTTGCTTAATACCCTTTTGTTTATTTGTTTATTTGTTTACAGTCCATGTATAACCAACTGGTGCAATACTTCTATACCTCTGAAGGAATTTTCAATTAAAATTTTTTACATATAACAAATATTTTTCTAAGCAGTGTTACTACTTCTACTCAAGTAAAATATCACCACAGACAGATACTTGCAATAATAATTTGTAGGCAGATTAACAACTAAATAAAAAACAAAAAATAATATAACGACAACAATCTGTTGTGTAACATTTGAGTTAAAAAATTAAGTTCAGCTTCCTGTTTCTTTGTCTTTCTAATGTACTACAGCACATGTCGTGTGATTGCTCACTAAGAACCATCTTGCAGTTCTGCTTAAACTGATTAGTACAATTACACACTTTCAACAAAAGAGGATTTGTATTCAATAATGACTTCCCGGTGGGCTTTAAATAATTTAAAGGGCAAATAAGGCTGTCGTTCTTTCTCTCACACTCTCATTTTCATCATCTGTTGTTTCTCTGGACTGGAGTCTTCAAACAATATCAGTGAAATAAGGCGTCACTCAGATTTTATGAGGGATATTGCTGTTTTATCATCAACTAGAGAAATGGAAGCAGTCAGGTACTGTAAGAAGCTTTTGTTTGTAGGATACCATCACCTAAAAAAAGATGAGATAAAACTTTCTCTTTAGAAATGTTTAGTAATGTGGTACTAGTTTAGCAGATGTAAGCCAAGCAGAATTTAGAATGTATTTGTAGAAGATGTAAGTAAAGTTGCCAGGTCAGTTGAAAGCCTTTGACTTTTATCATTTTACATGATGTGGTTTCTTCTTAATATCCCCTTCAATTCTCTTCTAATCATTTAACCCTTCATATCCGTTTCCTCAGGTCTCTGTTTTTCCCAAAGTGGTTTTCAGATGTGCGTTTGGAGGGGAAGACAGCTATAGTAACTGGGGCCAATGCTGGAATTGGCAAAGAGACAGCTAAAGACTTGGCTGGCAGAGGCAAGCAAACAGACATTTAAAGATGTGTACCACTTATAGGCTTTTAGTATTACTGACATATTCTTTTGTTCAGAATAACTAATGAAAAACATTTTAAGCCAAACAACCTGAGGATAGAATAACAAAGATTAAAATATTAAACTGTTGGATTTAATGAAATGCATAATGCTCATGAGCATAGAAACCAACTCCGATTTAAATATAAGATAGCTAAAAATTATATAACACTAAAGACACTCACACATAAACAACACTAGAAACTAACTGCCATAAACATTCAGAGAAAAAACATTTAAAAGTAAGCTCAACATCACCTTGCCTTGATCAGATTTCAGCATGCATGCACATGAAAGAACAGTTGCCATTAAGAAATATCAATCTTCATAGGTGCACGGGTGATTTTGGCATGCAGAGACATGGCAAAAGGAGAGCGGGCTGCTCACGACATTGTGAGAGAGGTGAAAGAAGCCAAAGTTGTGGTCATGCAGCTGGATCTGGCTGACATCAAATCAATCTACCAGTTTGCTGAGAATATCAGCAACAGTGGGTGGCAAACATACGTGCAATTAAGAGTACAATATGAAATTTTAAAAAGGCTGCACTGCTGGTAACAAATATTCTGTTTTGCAGCTGAGACAGCTCTTCACTACCTCATCAACAATGCAGGTGTGGCTATGTGCCCCTTTGCCAAGACAGTGGATGGATTTGAGATGCAATTTGGAGTCAATCACTTGGGTAGGAGATGTTGAAGAAGTACAGTCACTTTTGGAAGGTTGTTGCTGAGTTTAGTTAATGGTGTGGGTGTCACAAGGAATTCAGGGGACCTCTTATTGTGACATTTTCACAGGCAGCTGAGGGAGGCCCTCACAGCTTTTCACAATAGAAAGGAAGTATTAGTATGTATTAATAGAACAAATAATCAATCAGCTCATTTTGGTGTCTGTTCTCATCATGACCAGTGAACCAATATCTAAAACCTTTGTGTATTACTCTTACAATTGATTATAAATCTATTTCTTCCAAATCTTTTCTCAAATGCTTCCTTTTTTCTTTACATCCACCCATTTTCTCCCCTTTCAGGTCATTTCCTCCTGACCTTTCTGCTACTGAACTTGCTGAAGCACTCAGCCCCATCTCAGGTCATCAACGTGTCATCAGTAGCTCACATGATGGGCAAAATCCAGTTTGATGATCTGAGTGGTGAGAGAAACTATCACCCTGTCAGGGCCTATGCACAGAGCAAGCTTGCCAACATCCTGTTTACCAAAGAGCTGGCCAGAAGGACTGAGGGTAGGGTGTGTTTTTGTGACACAGAGAGAGAGAACAAGATTATGCACCATGCATGTTTGTCTTTATGTCTCTCTGCCTCCCTCTCTGTCTCTTTC